CCAAAACCATAACCACAACAAAAAAGGGCCTTTGCAATTGGATTAACATATCTGATGTGCTAAAGGGTAAATAATTCTATTGTTAATGTAACTCATCAATGTAATCCATCAGAAAATAAGCACTTTAGTTTTTGAAATAGAGAATGAAATGAAAATTAAGGTAAAACCACTGGAGATCATATTCTGTTTATGGCATCAATTAATTCAGCTCTGAAATATGTTCAAACATCAGACCAATGTTGCAATGTGTTTGAAAGATGATCCAACTGCATAACACAAAGTTTAAATATATTCCCTCAAACTCCATGCCCCAAGTTTCCAAAGGCCACAATAAAGTGGACTCAGTTATCATCTGTATTTTTAGAAACTCCCATGTAATCCTGTAGTGGTTACAGGATATGTATACGGCTACAGGATTACATGGGAGCCTTGTTCCTGTTCATTCTAGAGATACTTACAGAAATGCAGAAAATGTACTCAACATATACCAATTTAACTATTTGTAACCATTTGTTTTTTATCTGATAGTTTTTCAGTAAATCAGTGGGATGACAGGTTATTAGGTTTTGATGAGAGACAGAATAATTTAAAGAAATAACTTTCTTGCAAAACCGAACTGAAAGACTCCATTTGCTCTTTTACTTGCATGCGTTTAAAAAATCAGGTCACTGGAATATGGTCAGCAGATTTGATCTGTAGTATGACACTTACCCTTTGCTTATTCCAAAAATTTAATTAAATGTGCAATTCAGAATGTCAAGAACAAAGCATTTAGGAGTAAAAAAGAAATCACACTTGTGCAAAAAGAATGCAGAGACTTAAATAGCAGGAATTACTTTAAATCATAATTTGTACTAGATCCCCTTAACACCCAAAGCAGAGAAATATTAAGTTGTTTGAATCATTCAGACTGAGCTTCTGTGCAAGAAAATATCAAAAATGCAGTGGAATTGCAAATTAAACCTGTAAATTATGCTTTTGTGCTAAAGTACTAAGTCATGTGACTATGTTATTTTTAGATGCATGGAAAAATGTTTTTTTTTCTTCCAAGTGCTGTTCTTAAAATTGTTTACTGAAACATTCAACAAATAATCAAGAATTTCCCTAGTTCTTCATGAGAAGGATGTTCTGAAAATATACCAAATTATGCTAACATAAAATCAAATATTCAGACCCCTTAATACAAATTCTATACCATTACTTCATCTAATAAGATGGTATGTATGTTCTTATGCTATCTTCTGAAATACAGTATACTAAAAACCTGCATAAAATGATTTATGGATTTTTTTTGTTGCAGTAATACGGTTCCTGACACTGTCTTGTAGTGAATTCTTAAAAGAAAAATAAATCTGAAATTTAGCAAAAGGTGAAAACACCTGGGCTACAGACATTCAAAAGGCCTGAGCCTGAATTGAAGCAATCTTTGCAGCTTTGTAACTGCACAGACATCTCCTTTGGACTAAGGAAATGCCAGCATGTGCCTTGCTAGAAGCAAGGGGCGCTACAGCAGCCCTCCCTTTCCTTCCACAAAGCTGAGTTGAGGGGGGCGTGGCCAGGCCCCGGCAGGATGCTCTTATTATCCCGCCCCCCCCCTCCTGAGCAGCCCAACAGGGAACATTTATACATAACTCCATGTTTATCAACCCATTGAGAAGACAAAGCCTCTCTCCACTGACTAATGGAGCTCTTCTTAAAAACAGTTCTTCCCAGGAAGAACATTAAACTACCTGTTGATTAGCTCCAAAAAGCCTGTGTGCCTTTATCATCTCCCACAGCACTGACTTTAGCCAGCATGTGCAATGCTAGCTAACGCTGAGGTGTCTGCGTAAACCAGAGGGGGAAAGGAAATAATTCCTTCTTAGCAGGAGAGGCCAGGCAGACCCTCTGTGCCTGCATGTGTCTGCTGGAGCTGCAGCCAGGGACCCGAGGGGAGGGGTCAGCTCTATTGTGGAGCAGAGAGCCCTGCCCAGCTCAGAGAGCATACTGGGATGCTGGGGGAGTCTGGTTTAACTTAAACCAGCAAGGGTTCTGGGACAGATATTGCATAAACCAGTTTGACCCAGATCAATTAAGTCTGATACTACATTCAACCAGGTTTATCTCAAACCAGTTTCAGCCATTTTCAAACTGGTTTATGTGCCCTGAACATCTATTCTGTTACAGGTTTAAAGCAGTTTCTGATCACTTACACCGATTTATGTTTAACGTCTGTCCCTAGCCTGGCAGATCAAACCACTTTTTATTATACAAAGATTTAGAAAAACCTGATTATAACTTTGCTATTGAGTTTTTCAGTTTAAATGCTGCTGAAGGACAACAACATTAAGATCTTAATATGTCTGAATCAGCCACACTGTGGATAAAAAAAATAAAGCATTTCTTTTCAATGCATCTGTATATGAAGAAGTTTATCAAGTATTTAGAAAGTGTGGAGTTCTGTGTTACCATGCAGCAAGCACCAAAATGAAGGAAGTGCTTTGAGTTACAAATACAGATAGCCAGCAGTTAGCTAGCTAGATATTAACAACACAGCCGCAAGGGTCTTTTGTTTATTTTAAACTTTTATGAGACAGGAGCATTAGCAAAGTTAAATAAATATTTATTTCACGTATTCATTTCTGCACTGTGTCAAAAATACAACCAAACTGGTAACTCCAAAGGGTGATTTTTTTCTCTTTTTTGCACATGCACAATGTCTATTAGCATTTATGGGAATTGTGTGTGCATAGGGAAGAAAAATTATATTCAAGCCATCTCTTAAATTTATTTGTAAAGATAAATGATACCAAATCAATGCTGTATTTTGATAGAAAGAATAAGAATATTACCATAGTGCTTTTCCCCTCAGGGAAAATTTCTATTGACTTGATTTTCTTTTAAGAGGAGGGGAAAAATCTGGCATTCAAGTATTTTTTTCAACAATTTTATTTCCTCAACGTGGTTGATAAGCTAATTATAAGCTACACCTAAACCTTGCTACAACCTGTAGAGGGTTTTGCATTTATTCTTTGAAATAAATTATGATAAAATGTAATCGTGTTTTGATGCCAACCTGTAATTACCATGAACAAAAATAATGTCCGTTTAGGATTATACTTTAACTAGATAAAGATGTTAAACTTATTTCTTATATTTTACATCAGTGTGTTCATGAAGCCTGGAGAGAGATTAGCAATTTTTCTACTAGATCCTGCATACTCTTGCTTACATAAAAGATCCACACTTTTCAACAGGATTGTTTGTGCTATCAAAGGTTACTCTCATGATTAAAGGTGCGAAGGACTGGTTCACAAGAGGTCAATTAAAAGCAAACAAACAAACTGCCTAATCTGAGTCAACCGTGCAATAAACCAATCAAGTAATATATCACATACTAATTTCAACCTAACTTCTGCTCTCTGACATAAATGACTGACATGTAAAACCTTTTAATTTTATTAAAATAACATTAATAGGAAATTGAATTTGTCAGGGATAGCTTTGCAACTCTTGAATCTAAAGCCAGGTAACCAGCTGAATGGAAGAATTCCTCCCATGTAGGGAACCTCTAAGGCAGGGGTGGGCAAAATGCAGCCCGGTGGCTGGATGCGGGCCGCCACGCCATTCTATCTGGCCCATGGGGCCCCTAAAAAATTTAGAAAAGTAATATTTAACTGCCCTGGGCTGCCCGTCATGCGGCCCTCGATGGCTTGCCAAAACTCAGAAAGCGGCCCTCTGCCCAAAATAATTGCCTGCCCCTGCTCTAAGGTGTATAGTACTACTGCAGGGACTTTAAGG